TTACAGCTTTAGTATGGCAAATGATGAGAGCCTACACYATCTCAATCCTGAGTAAACTTGCACCTGAAGGCAGCCCAGCCTTGAGAGATGCTGATATCAAAGAATGGGTTAATGACAAGGTAACTATCATATATCAAGGGCTATTGCAGGGGTTTCATGACTAGGGTTCTAGCTGGGGTTCAAATGTTGGATAATCCAAAAATGTGAAATGTGCTATACTATCCAGTAATGCAGTACCAATTGAAACCTGCTTTTTGATTGCTCCTTAAGTACAGCACCACTATTGTTAGGTTAGGTTTTGTTATATTGTTGGAAGACTTATCAGTATTGTTTGTCCATTGTTTTCTCAACCTATCATGAGACCCGTTCCGAGCGGTGCTACCTGGCTCATACTATCTAGGAAGGATAGTCGGAGTTCTGGAATTCCTGGAACTCACTCTTGATATGATCCTGCATTGGATGTAGATTATTAAGATGGTACATGCTCACCCCTATACTAACTCGGTCAATTTTTACTCGGTCAAATTTTACTGACTGAACCAACATGAAACTCGATATTACCAAATAGTTCAATATTATTCACATTATTTGCCGTGCTTTTCAGCTTCAAAAAGGCAAGAAGGAGAATACTATCACAGGTTTCAAAGACCCAAGTATCTGCACTAGTCATGCTGTCATTGATCTTATCGATTGTATTCAGCCTAAGGTAGTCAACTACAATCTGGTTGCTGCTGGAGACACTGACGAGGTTTGTTGCTSTCTTTCATGCATTTCTTTTCTTCATTCATTTTGTTCTTTCCTTCCATTTCTTCCTTATTTTTCTCATTCTGCCCTTCTCTCTCTCATTTTTCCTCTTGTTTTCATCCCCTTCTATGATTTCCGAGCCTCATGGCTTTGTGCATCATTTTTTGTTCAATTGTAACATTRCTTTTCTGTAATTTTAGGAGAAACTCTTAAATGCAAGGTATGCATTGTCAACTGCAAGAAAGATTGGCGCTCAAATCTATGCCCTTCCAGAAGACCTGGTTGAAGTAAAACCYAAAATGGTGTTGACAGTGTTTGCTTGTCTGATGGCATGCTCTTACAAACTTGACAAAGAAAAGGAAGCTAAGAAAAAAGGCAGAAAGTAAAGATAAAAACCTCGTATTTCATAACAATTTAAACTGATCAAGTCAATCAGGTTTCCAATTACCTGTTCAACTAGTTTTTCCTCTAAAACTGGTTTTGTTCCTGCCAAACCTGATTTTATATCTATAAGAGGTAATAAATCTTGGACAATTTCATACAATCAAGTCAATCGGGTTTTCAATGACAGTTAAACCTGTTAAACCAGTTTTTATGGTAAAACCGGTTCTGTTTCTGCCAAACCTGATAATATATCTACAAAATAGGGTGATAATTCGGATTTCTATTCGGAATTTCATTTCTTTCCAAAGAAATCCTGCTGAGTAATACTACAATATTAGCATTTCATTTCATAGCGTAAGACTAAAATAATCGTTCGTGAAAAACATTTTGATATTATGTACGTTCCCTTTAGATAAATAATGACATAAAAGGTAGACCATAATTCACACAGAAATCATATTTACTAAGCATAAATGTCGTCCTTTAAGGTGAATTAATGTAAATTACCCGGCCAAGTATTACTCAGAGAAGTAGTGTTATTGAAATAAGCGAATGTTTTCATGGTTTTGGAAAAAAGTTTATAAGGATATAATAGATTGAAAGCAACCAAAATTTGTTAGATTAGTAAAAAAAATAAATAAATGATTTTTTGAGTCTTATTGTTATGTTTGTTTTATTTTGATTTGGTCGCAATGAATTTCACCTGAGTAGAGAGAGCATTGTGGTCTCTTGCCGAGTAGTATTTCCACTAATCAAACTGAGAAAGGTAAGAGTCATTTTACCTTAGACATAGCAAGCTATTATTAATTTAAGRTTTACATTATATTTTATTCAAAGCATTTGTAAGATCTGCTCTGAAATGTCATGATTTTTTCATGACAAAGGTTCGCGGAGGCTTTGAACGAAAAAAAAAATATTTCAAATATTGTATTCAGAATCGCTATATAGCTGTATCCTTCCCCAAAAATATCGGCTATATCTTCGAAGTATTCAGTTACTATTATTTCACAAAGTTGGGACCAGAAATAGTTTTATTTCATGACATGAATGTTTGTTCTCTTTTTTTCATTTTTTCTTTCTAAAGTTTTTCGAACCATACATGCACCGTTTAAGTGTTAAAACCTTTAACACCTTTAAAGTGTTCAGTGTTAACTTTTAAGCTTATTTACCATTTTTTATGTGTTTTAAATTCAAGTATTTCAAAAACTGTTATTTATATCCTTTTAGAGTGTTTTTATAAAATTGCAACTTGTTATAAACGATGTTACCAAATAAGGCCATTGTCCATGAATCCACCAATCACAGTTGAGTATCAAGCGTCCCTAGATATGACATAGAGCTCGGTATTCCCAGTGGGGACACTTGCCTGCCTTGAAAAGTTTGTGGGAATTTCTTGAATTATTGGTCACTCGTCCGGCTTCTAAACGATGGAACGAAGAGAACTAAAGAGAGTCAGAGACGAGGACTTATCAGAATATAAAGAAGCTTTCAAATATGTAAGTTTAACCTTCAAATGATACTATACTATACAAAAACCCGGTTTGTTTTAACTCATGCATATTCAATGTACTCAAATAGTTTATATCTTTGCAGATGAAATTTAAGGTTCAAATATTTTTGATATAGTAAATAGAAAACTTTGTCATTCCATATTTTTAGATAGGCTAGAATAGGTTCCATGGATTTCGTATCGTCTACTTGAATATGGTGTCATTTCTTATAGCTGACTTAAACAAAGATCTTTCTCATCTATCGAAAGCATTGTTGATAAAAATCAATGATTTGCTTGAAGTCTGGAAACTTTCATTTCTCTTTTTCGTCACTTTTCTTTTATATAACCACTTAGGTAATCTTTTTCTTTAAAAATAGTAAGTCAAAACTGCGATTTGTTGCGTTAAAAATCTGCAAAATATACAAAAGTTAAAAAAAAAATTGTGAAAAAAGGAACTGTTGCGAAATGAGTTCGAACTGCCCCTTATCTTTGTTCCAATATTTTTAATTTCTAATGCTGTATCTCATCGTACTGCATGCAGAATTCAATACAGATTAAAAATTCATCGTAGTGTAGACGTTACCAAGGCTTTGCAAACCACTTTTGATTCATCAAAGCTTGCGCAATATATTGGTCATCTTTCGTTGGGATTCCTGTGTCCAGTTTAACACAGGAGTCCCAAGGCTGAACACGATAATCTGCTAAATATCACTCTCATCTTTTTTTCTTTAAAATTTCCGTTTGAGGTTGCGATTGATTTTAGCTTATCTTCTAATTTCCCTTTATATAAGGAAAAACGGATGTATATGTATAAATCCTCTTACATTCGCTTAAGCTCCATTTTTCCATTCCTTTCTGTTGATTGTCGATCTTGCGTGGTATGCAAGTTGTACTATCAAAATATAACATATTATTGTAAAAGATATAAATAATATATAATGTCTTTAGTTTGATAAGAATGGCAATGGTTATATCGACAAAGACGAACTTGACCTYTTGCTGGAGAAGCTTAATATCAACATACCTCGATATAAAAGAGAGACTTTGAAAAAAGAATATGGGAGTACCATCGACTTTGATGAATTTCAAGATGTAAGTACCCGGGTTAAAAAGGGGGAAAAAAAGAAATTAACAATCAATTAACTTCATGGATTGCATTTCATGATCGGTTTTGTTCGCTTTTGGGCTTTTAATTCTTAAAAAGCGCTCTATTAAGTAAATAAATAATAAATAATATATTCAGTATCACTCTCTTTTTAATACACCAGTTTCGAGATCTTATTTGTGCAGTCTTAACCTCGAAAGCATGTAATATATTCTTTTGTTTAGCAGAGATCTTATTGTACTACAAAAACTCTTTGGACAAAGAAGACAATAAAAATTTATCCTTGATTGAATCTAACTTGCGCAAAAGAGAATTCGAAACTGGAGTATTATTACCAATTCGTCCATCAACTTTTTCATCGCTCTTTATTATCAAATGTAGATTGTTGTTGAGCATTCCACCGCTCAGACAGGYGCAGCTTTCCTCAACATGCTCACTAAACGAAARGTTGAGCATACAGGGGGAACATCACACGTTTCTGCACAAGGAACAACACACTCTTTTTCCAAGAGTGAAGCGGTGGGCTTTGCAGACTGGATGAATATACATCTAGCAGGGGACGAGGACTTGAAAAAACATGGCTACATCCCCCTGGACATCTCGTCTGATAGTGGCGCCTTGCTTAGGAAAGTTAAGGATGGAGTGCTTTTATGGTAGGTTTAAAGGTTACGGACGGACTGAGGGCCGTTATAGGAGAATGACAATAGTTCACTAAACACACAGACGACTTGAAAAAATTGAGATTAATACGCATACAATGGAATAATGAATGATAGAGTGAAGCAAGTAGCAATTAAGACTCGTTTGAACTTTGTTCTCGCGCACCTCAAATCGTACGTTTAAAAAGCCCAGAGATWGTCGCGGCGACCGAAACTGCATCGCCGTGTTGCAGCTAGATTTGAAGCATGTTCGTAATTCAGGCAATTATCGCGCGCCAATCGCGCTTCAAAAATCGCAAGTGTGAACGGGCCTTTAGAGATGAACCTCGTCCCAGGCCCTTACTCCTGCATTGGATAAAGTTCCTGCGAACGAGGTTGCKAATAACGATCTGCTTTTCTAGTAAACTGATWAACGCAACTGTYGAAGGCACCATTGATGACCGTGTGATCAACATTACACCAGACTCGACCTACGCAGTGCACGAGAACCAAACTTTGGCCATCAACTCAGCCATCTCCATTGGCTGCCGTATTGTCAACATTGGTGCTGAAGACCTGGCCAGCGGTAAACCACACTTGGTACTTGGTCTGCTGTGGCAAATTATCAGAGTATGTTGCCATGGTGATACTGATGATTATATGATGATGATGATRATGCTGTCAGCGCGCAGTGTATCCTGGGAAGCACAAAGGAAACCAAGAATGGTCTTATTCACGATTCCCTGCGCCATCTTGAAAGGAAGCCGAGCCTTGTATCGAAGCGAGACGACCGTTGAGCATGAAAGATAGATACCTGTGAATAATTGTCTGTAGGTGTGAAAGAACGTTTCTATCATTGCACGCTAAACGGTCGTCTCGCTTCGATACAAGGGCTTGGCTACCTTTCAAGATGGCGCACAGAGAATCGTAAAGTAGACTATTTTCTGCTACATTCAGCTATTTTGTACCCATCACTGTTTCACTTGTCTCTAGATTGGGTTGTTCTCTCACATCACAATATCAGAAGTTCCCGGTCTGCTTAGACTGCCAGAAGGCTCGACCACAGAGGAAAAGGAAAACAAACTCCATCAAATGACACCAGAGGAGATTCTCATGATGTGGGTTAACTACCACCTTAACAATGCTGGGAGTCCAAGACGAATTTCAAACTTCGGTGATGACATCGAGGTAACTAGTATAATACAAACTCGACTCCAGGCCCTTTTTCCCTTCAGAGTCTGGAAACGAGGTCGGACCACATTGGATCGTACGACCATTGAATCAACCATTTATCAATCAGAAATAAAAAAAAATGAATTAACACCGTTAATCCTTGGCCTTATTCTTATTGTGTGTGTTTTTTTAGGATTCAGAAATTTACAGCGAGCTGTTAACTCGCCTTGCCGCGCTCTGTGACATCACCATCAAGCCAACCAGTCACGTAAGTAAAAAGTAGTCACGCAAGTAAAAAGTAGTCACGTAAGTAAAAAGTAGTCACGCAAGTAAAAAGTAGTCACGCAAGTAAAAAGTAGTCACGTAAGTAAAAGGTAGTCACGTAAGAGTCACGTCACACTAAGTCACGTAAGTGATGAGAAGCCAATATACTGATAATTTATTACATTCACCCATCAATCGTCAATAACTCAATTACCAGATACCTGACAAGACCACTCGAGCAGATGAAATCCTTAAAAACGCCAAGATTATGGGATGCAAGAGGTTTATCACAGCAAAGGTATTCTTGGTTGATTGATTGATTAATAGACTGTTACAATAATTGATTGCTTTGCTGGCTGGATGATTAGCTGATTCATGAATTGATGCATTGATTGACTGATACGATTGACATTTTGGCGAATTGAATGTGATTGATTGATTGATTGATTGATTGATTGATTGATTGATTGATTGATTGATTGATTGATTGATGGATTGACTGATCGATTGATTGATTGAACGATTAATTGATTGATTGATTGATTGATTGCTTATTTATTGATTGATTGATTGCTTATTTATTTATTGATTGATTGATTTATCGTTTGATTGGTTGATTAACTTTAAACAGGAAATCTTGGAAGGCAATGAGAAGCTCAACTTGGCATTTGTTGCCAACCTGTTCAACACGTATCCCTGTCTGACAGAAGACGGGGATGATGATGATGCTTTATACAGCCAAGGRACAGAATCTGAACTTGAGGAGACTCGCGAGGAAAAAAGTAACTTTATATTKACGTTTGTTRCCATAATTCACAATGTCCTTGTACTCTCTCWCACACACAYWTYWMWA